GTATCAGAGATCAAAATGGCCGCCAGTCAGCCATACTTCATCAAGTTGTGTTCAAAATTGATGTGCATATGTAAGTCATCAATATATAACATGGTATATTTTTATTCAATGTCATTTCAGCAATAATTCTACTTTCAACACTCCGCCATTTCACTTTTTCAGAAAGTGAAATATGCATGTTGTGATCACCGGCAGAGTAGCCTGTGGCTCAGATTGATTTAAAACTCTAGTGGTAATCACTTGTTGGCTGTCACCTAGGAGAAAATATCGGGGGATTATATATAATAATTTCCCGTAATATTTATTATCAAGATGAAAGAAATGTCTGTGAATAGAAACTAAAAAATAAATAATAAAAACCAAATATATCATTTGAAGCTTAATAGCTGTAGTAGATATGTTGTTCACAAACAGATTTACAGAATACTTACTCACTTTATTATTAGTATATAGAAAGCATTATTACATAATTAAATTAGGTTATGCACACGAGGTAAATCTTAATTTTTACCTGAAGTGGTTTCCTTGGCATATCAGCTCCATTCAACTGTACATGCGTGTCGTCATCGCGATCCACTTGATTAACCAACAATAATGTTCTAGCCATGTAAACAAAACCTAGGCTAATAATTAATAACAACATGCAGCGTCGTTTACGGAATCGCATGGTAGTGTTTTTAATACATGTTCTGCTCATCACGAAATAGAGTTTGTACACGATGACATGTAATCTACCTTGATGACCAGCATGGTTGCCAGCTACGATCCCAGTGTTTAACATACATCAATTTAGAGAAGTATCGAGCCTCCTGGCAACTGGCGTCCTCATTGTGGTGATAATCCAGATGCAATATGCTCCGATCCACGCAGTGTTGCAGTGTATACTGTGGAAATCGATAATAATGACTACTGTGTCGTTACTGTCAATGATTTGTTAAACGGAAGGCTCGATCAGCTGCGGTGATTCCCAGGGTCTGCAGTGATTCACGAAGTGGGTCCATTAACAATGCGCCCCGTCCCGACCTAATCAAAGTGTGAATGGATCGGTGACCCTAACTGAACCTACTGATATCGGGTTGCTTGGCACTCAGACAAATTGATTAGGTCCGACTGCCAATCTAATTGACCTTTGCTTGCTTGCTTTTGAGTTATTAAAGCAGCTCTCAGTCCGAATATTGAGGGCGGTATTCACCGCGGTCTCAATAGTGTGTCATATGGATAATACAAAACTACGACGGAACGCCAATGCTATGGGAGTGACAATGCTATGGGAGTGACAATGCTATGGGGCGAGAAAACCAACAAATTAGTTGGATGTTATTTATTGAACATTGGTCTTTATTTTGAAACTTGTTCTACGCGTGGTTTTATTGCGTTCAAAATTGTTTCATTTCAACTTGAAACTGCGCATGCACACACACTGACGTTTCGAAATGCATACTAATCAGGTAACTTATCACTGGTAAAAGTTATTGGAAACATTTTGAGCAATCTTGAGCAAGAGTGCTGGAGTGAAATATCAACCAGCCTCTACATTCTCCCTGAATGTCGTAACTTGCTATGATCACGTTGAAGAAGAAAAAAGTGGTTATTTTCAACAGTTCAGTTTGCTGGAGTCGGATCAAAAACATGTCTCAAAAACACTTTTACATTTCTTTTATGTTTTCGATTATTTTTTCAGCTCGTAATTTATAACTACCATCTTTGCACAGTTTTACTGAAAAGACGAGTTTTTCATTGCTCATGAATTTATGCTAATGAGACGATATTATATTTTCGCGCCAAATGTATCTCGTCCTACAATTCTAGGATTAAAAACCTCGGACATACCCAGGCGGTGTTCGCAATGTAAACGCCCTCAAGCGTCGAATATATGCAACTTGTCTGGGACATACCGCACTCAACTCAGCTTGTGAGCACAAAGTTAGTAGTTGTTTATATATATATATATATACTGTAAAGGGGGTAATTATTCACTGGGTTTTAATTTAGCTTATTTCGCTGACTGGAAAAATGCGCTAAATTAAAACACAGTGAATATGTAAAATTTAGCATAGGACACATTATCTAAATGACGAAACCGTGAATTTAAAACCCACTGAATATGCCGGAAATGGTAAATCAGTGAAATTTAAACTTTATTTGGATTGTAAAACCTGGAAAAAATTTCTGGCTCACTGTTGCCATGACAATGGCCCCAAAATACTTTCGAATACTTTCGCGCCAAATGTATCATGTAATTGTTAGATTAGTGGATCATTTTCTGAAATTTGCTAATTTAATTTTTGTGTGTGAATCTATTGAAACTATTTTCGAAACATTGTCGTAATATGCTCACATTTTACAATTTGTCACGAAAAATACATTAACATTTTTAACTTAAGATTTTTCCTTTGCAAGGCATACACGTTTCACGAAGTCATGAACTTTCTATTTATATATCATAACATTTAGAACAATGAGTGTACTCAGAATGGCTGGATTCCAGGCTAGGCTAACCCATAACCTGAACACTCCAGCCCGGGACTCCAGCTTCAGTGTATATCTATATGCCTCTCCACATAACTATATCTGTATTGAAGAGGGGCATACAAGTTATAATTACAAATGGGAAGGTTAATTGAGGGTTAGGGTTGGTAGTTATGGGCGAGGGGTCCTAGGAACTCTTACTCAAATTATTTATAAATGTCAATTGACTGTTTCATTTGATTACAAACAGCGCGAAATTGGATTAAAATCTAAACTAAACTAAATCGAAAGCTGAACTAAATCGAAAGCAACAAGTTTCGATTTAGTGCTTTCGTTTTAGTTCACACGTACTGCCTACTTTCGCGGTGAACAGTTACCTTAATTTAAACTTTACACATATGGAAAACAATGTTTTCAAATTTTCACACAAATTCCAAATCGGCCGCCAAATTAATTATCATTATTCCTTCAATGTGTCTATATATTTGGGATTAAGAATTGCAAAAGTGATAGTATTGTTTAAGATTTTGAGAAAATAAATGAATTTCATAAAACACACATTTAGAGCTATATACAAATGCATAGTAAATTGTTATCGTCACTGTGAATATGAGTTTGAAAATAAGTAATCTCGAACATGACTTAGCTACACTAGTTAGGAGAAATCGCGATATTTATTAACCGAAATCGTCATTCAACTGTCCGTCATAAATGTTAAGAAAGGACTTTAACCCCAAATTAATGAGGTAATTCTCTAAGTGAATCTAAGAACCAAATTTCATTTGATGGTTAATATTTCAGATATCGGCTATTTAAGGATTAGTATTCCAGAAAACGAAAAAAAAACAAAAAAACAGAAAATTGACGAATTAAAGGGTGGTGGTAGTCGCACAGTGTGTATTCGAATTTCATGTAAACAAACAATGTATTTTCTACGCGTTGTGTACGTGGCTATGGGTTCCATATCAAACAGAACGCGGCGCGACGACCACCGCCCTTTAAATATTAATACTTCAGTTGTGTAATGCTTATACAAAATCATGCATACAATTATTCATAAAACAACCATTTGTATTTGTACATCTATTTCCAATAACACTCAGCATTCTATATAAATATAACGACTAAACTAACAGAGATCATTCAATGTCAAGTCTTCGTTAGAAGTATCACGTTCACTCTGCTGCTACATGCAGTGTCAAAGGTCAGTCCATGTTTATTCCACATTGAACAGTTCGTCGTGTCCATAATGTTTGTAATTGTAATTGCGACATCTAAAGTGCCTACATCATTAATTATAAATTATTACATGTTTATAACATTTGCTAACACTAACACTCGTTAAGGCATCTAAAATGTCCATACTATATACTAACACCAACTCTCATCAAGCCATCTAAAGTGTTCTTACAATGTGTTAACACCAACTCTCATCAAGGCATCTAAACTAAATGTTCATACAATGTGATAACATTAACTCTCATCAAGGCATCTAAACTAAGTGTTCATAGAATGTGATAACATTAACTCTCATCAAGGCATCTAAACTAAGTGTTCATACAATGTGATAACATTAACTCTCATCAAGGCATCTAAACTAAGTGTTCATACAATGTGATAACATTAACTCTCATCAAGGCATCTAAACTAAGTGTTCATACAATGTGATAACATTAACTCTCATCAAGACATCTAAACTAAGTGTTCATACAATGTGATAACATTAACTCTCATCAAGGCATCGAAACTAAGTGTTCATACAATGTGCTAACAATAACTCTCATTAAGGCATCTAAAGTGCGAATAGTACTAGTATTTGCTAACACCAACTATTATTAAGGGGTTTAGAATGTTCTCGTTAAGACATCTAATATATTCATACTATTTTCGCATACTAACTCTCATTAAGGCATCTAAAGTGTTCACACTATTTACTAACACTAACTCTCGTTAAGAAATCTAAAGTGTTCATACAATGTGCTAACACTAACTCTCATTAAGGCATCTAAAGTGTTCACACTATTTGCTAACACTAACTCTCGTTAAAGGGGAGCAGAGGTGTGGCTTTTGACACTCTGTACATGAAATTTGAGATCTATGAATGAATTCTGTCGATAAAAACAACTTGTATGCGCTGCGAAATGCCCTAAATATTGGGTATAAAACGGGCTGTGAAGCAGACGACAAACTTCCGCTTTTACTGGTGTCATTTCGCCTCTAGAGGGCCAGTCAAATGACGTAATCAGTGAACACTGATAATTGAACCCATTCATGCTAGTACGCCAATTCCATAGAAATGCTACTATGAAAGACCTTGTTAACTGACTACTTAAAAGTTGAAACATGGCGAGGTGTTGTGTTATGAATGCCATAACGATTCATGTTATGTTTCTCGAAATCCCAAATAAAAAATCACGTTGTTGGTTGCGAGAAAACGGCAGAAGAACTAACCAGAAAATGAAGACACGTACAGCGCTCTAGCTATAGTAAACAGTAAGCAAATAAATATTGTTTGAGTTAAAAAAAATAATTAGAAATACGCTATACGATATACATAGAACATGTACCATAATTTGTTCAAGACCCCAAACTGATTAATTTATTCATCAAGTACAATACAAACTTAGTGTTATTCAAAGTTTTGCGATGGAGGCAAGTACGAAAACAACAACATCAACGAGGACAGAGTTTTTCCTCATAAACCTTGCCTTTGATTTTAGATTTAAGAACAAGGTAAAAAGCTAATACATATCCAATATCAATTACCTTCAACTAATGAATATTATACACGTTACATAAGACATTTCTAATGTCACGAACGTATGGGGTCAAACCGGTCACAGTCGTAAAATGTAAAGGAATTTGATTTTACTTTTTAAAAGTCTCGGTTTCAACCATCTTTTCGGTAAATCTACAACCCTGAATAACATCTTTGGAATCTTAATAGAATTAATGTGTATGATATGTTGAATTAATCATGAATTGTATAATACCATGAATGTAGCACATGCTGTAACTGCAAAATCATTGTAATAAAATTAAATCATGACGTTAACACTTATTGAGTTTGCACGAATTTCTATAAGTATACAATAATTTAGTCCAGTCAATCTCGTTTGACAAAAGTGGGTGATTTTTGAAGAAAAATCCACAGAATCATGCCTACATGTCTCTTTGAATTTTGTTATCAATTATTTTATAAATTACAAGAAACAATTGGAAATAATGCTGACCTTGACCTGAAAGTCAAACTT